AAGCTCGGTCTTTTCCGCAGGTTTCTGCCTCTGGTGTACTTTTTTTGTGCTGGGGTCAATGGTAAGAAGGAGCTATTGTAAGCCAATGGAAGAATATTGAAAAAGTTCTCATCTAACTGCTCAAAATTATATTTCTCCACCTAGCCCAGCATTACCTCGGCCTCCCAAAATCCTTGATGCTAAGGCAGTTGAGGATCATTCAGCGTCGCAATGATGAGCGCTCTTGTTAGGACTAAACCTGAGAGGCGCCGGAGAAAAAGAAACTGCTTACGCAGCCCATAGCCAACCCCCCCCCCTCGCTAAAAGGCATAATCCAGAAATTGAGGGTTATAGCAATCTTGTCAATTATTTCTTCCCATCTTTCCCACATGAACATCAGAGGAGTCATGGGTGAGCGAGCTTATGTAGCACCATTCAAAAAATCCTGGAGATGCACTGCAAGGGGCTGGAGGAAGCGGTAAAGTCTTTATTTCAGCTTTTAACGTTCTCGCCGATGGTGACCGACACTTTGCTGGAGACGAAGAGCTTCACGATGAAAGGTGAGCCTGCAAAATGATTTTCACTGGAATTGCCAGGAACCTGCAATTTTTCCCTCCGATTTTCAGTCATATCAAACAACACCTGGAAGACAAAATTGACGTGAGCAAACTGTCGGAAGAACAACAGAGGTTGGTCGTTACAACCATCGTGAAGTTCTCAAAGGCATCAACGCTCTAAGGCAGGTGTCAAGCTTTGCGCCTAATCGCTGGCGAATCGCGCGATTAGTCACTCGCGCGTCGCTCGCTGGCGCACGTTTGGAATCGCTGACGTATTCTGCGCAGTTCTCGAATAGCTCGTGAATCGCGTGACTGCCTGCCGTTGATCGGGAAGTATGACACCTGCCAAGCGTACCGGAGTTTTTAAAGAAGGTCGACTACACTCCCCAAAGAAATGAAAAGGAAGAGTAGACCCATTTGAGGAAAACGTGACTTGAGACCCTAACTGGTGGGTAGAAGGGTGGGGGAGGGGTGGTCATTGTTGAGGGGTCACTTTGACCTAATTCTCTAGACACCTGGCCGATTCTGATTCTAGCTGTCAGAAATGGTGACAAGGCGGATTTCCAAGCAATTACGCTGAAAAGAAAACAAAATCAGAAATTTATGGCTTCAGATTCCACTATTTCTCGATAAGTGATCTCAACAAAGATAATTTGATCGATGGAAACGAAATTTTGAAGGCACTAACTCATGATCACTCTGATGATACAGGTACGTTTATTTTTAGAAGATTTTTATTTTTTCTTATTTTTTCTGTTTTTGTATTTGACAGCTGCGCCGCTTACGCGGACTGACAAGTGCGCGAGAAGTGGAAAGTTTACCCAACAGCTCGGAACACTGAGATAGTGAATGTTCATATTGCATCTCCGAAGTTAGAAACTTCTTAGGTAGCTGAAATAGGAATGTCGCTTCGACCCACATATTATGGTGGCTCGCCTTGAAGGAAGTGGTCACGATAATTCCTATGGAGACGATAAGGAAAGCTACGTACTGGAGTGGGTAGGGGTCCTGCCCAATGTTACAACACGTGAAGTTTCAGTGGCAGTGGCGCCTTATCAACGGAGTGATAAGGCGCCGAAATCCACTTCCGTTCAGCAAAAACAAAGACTTATCGATGTGGAAAGGGGTGCGATAAGAGCGTGCTAGATATGATCGTTCGTTATTGTCCGATTTTCATTCTAGAGCCTAAATTCCAAGGAAGAAGGTGAGAGCATCACAAGTAAGCCTTGGAGAGAAGGGGAACTCCGTGGCAGGGTCGATCCTACCGTCGCGACATTTCGGAAATTTTTTACGACCCCCCCCCCCCCTCCCCTTTCCAAACGTACAATGAAACGGCAAAACTTTTCCCGCTCCTTCACACTACGCGCCCTAAACTCACCCATGAATTCTCAAATTACATCGAATACGACCCCCCCCCTCCCGTTGGTACTTGTCGCAACATAGGATTGACCCTGCTCCGGGGTGGGTGGACCAGTTGCAGTGTGGCAAAAGTTTGAATGTGTGAGATCACAGTAGTCATGAGCCGCTGTTCAAGCGAGAGCAGGCGGAAGCATCAAACTGAGGCAGTTAACAGGACCGAGTTCAAGTAGTCGTAGACGGCTACCATG